AAGCATCAGGGAGGTCCTCATTTTGGTTTCTGCTAGAATGGTATCTCTATACTGTACTACATGTAATCAAGCTTCAGACATTCCCATAACACCCTTCATGTAAAATATCAAAAGTTTTTATATATCAGATACTGTGTGTTCGGACACTTATAGTCCAGTAGAATATTCCAATGCTGTGAGAAGCAAAATGTATAGTGTAGGATTAGAATGGGTAAAAACTTTGTGTTAATTTTTTTTTCCTTCATTCAAGATAACTTTAATCTTAAGTTGTTTTACTTAATGGTACTTCCACACACAAATTAGATAATTAGTAACCTCATTAAGAAAAATTCTTTATTTTACGTGGATTGTGCCCGAGAGGAAAAAAATCTCAATCACTTGAAAGCCTCATCTCCTCCTCCTTACCCCTCCCCCCGGAATCAAAACAAAGTGAATCAAAACAAAACAACTCCCCCAAACAAAGAGACAAACAATAAAATTATGTTGCGATAGTGTTTTAACTAGGTTTGCTGGGGGGAGGGAGGAATAAATATTGGGTTTGAATAGAAGTTGAGTGTTTGGAATACTTATTTGCACTGAACAGTATCCTTAAAAGAGGGACCAGTATAGGTAGAGTCCCCAAATAAATTATTACTATTTCTTTTCAGACTAAAAATAAAACATTTTAAATATATTGATTATACCTTCATCAGAATGTAAGTATTCTATCTGGCCTATAGGTTCCAAGAATCTCTATTTGGGCTTAACTTACCATAATTTCAAAACAAAGCAATGAAATGTGAAATTTTGCACATTAGGATTTCCATAGTGACCACATAAAGTAATAAAAAAAAAAAATTCACAGACTCTTAGCCATATATTTCAACTTTTTTTCACAATTTAAACTAGTGAGAATTAAAAAAAAAACATCGGTTTCCTAATAGGAATATTTTCTTTATTATTATTATTCCCTTTTAAAATCAGATGTGTTTGTGCCTTTTGGGGCTTTTTTAAGAATATTAACTTTCAGGGGGCATGCCATGAGTGAGAAAGTAATCAGGTAAAAATTAAAATATATTCTCAATGAAAATCTCGATCATATCATGCCACTGACTAAGCCAAACTCTCCACTGATTTCAGGCTAGAGTGTGGCTTAAAAATCTCTGGTATGATACAGGACTCTCATTGATCTGTACAGGCTTTCAGTCATATCCGTTGTTCCCTGACTTCTGATGCTTTTCTTCATCTGTCTTACTTGTAATAAAGATTCAGAATTGCATTTAAAGTCTATGGATTTTTGGGGCATTTTGACTCTTATTCCTGCTCACCTCCATTGATACAAGATTTTTTTGTCATTTTCTGAGTGACAAAAAGTTGAAAAGTTATGGCTAGTTTTATTTCTATTTTAATAACCATACCTATATAATTGTCATTTTCATACATTAAAAAAATATTTATGCTTTCTTTTATATTTTAGTCAAGTACTTTCTTAAACAAAACAATAGCACCACTTTGGCATTGTTGGCCAAATCAGTAACAGGTAAAGCAAATATGTGTACACTTTTCTGATCTTGTCATTTCCTGCACTTGATTATTAAATGGAGAGCCAAGAAGACACAGTGCTTGGCCTAAAGTCCAATTTAACCATTGACACTGAGGGAACAACAAGCTCACGTGGCAACTAAACATAGCTACTAATTGTGTGTGAAATTCACTTCTAGAAAGAAAGTCCATCACTAATTTACCCTTTGATCTTACGAAAGGAATTGACACTGTAAGCTGCCTTGGAAAAAAGGGACCTATTTTGATGTGTCTACAAGGACTGGATGCAATAACCCCTAGTTTGATTTTTTTCTCTCTCTCTTGACTGAATGGCACAAATGAGCCTCATACAAGTCTATCACAGAAATATAAGTGTAGGTTTGTAAGCAGATAAATAATTAATTCATTTCCTATTTAAACTGTTAATGATTAATTGCATTTACTATGGAGATAAGGCTCAAATTTTGCTACCTTGATGAAAGAGATGTATTAACTTCAGTGAGTTTAAATCTGCAGTGCTTTTTGAACTGACTGAAAATAATGAGGCTTAATTAACTTTTTTTTCTTCTGCATTTCATTGACATTCTATGTAATAATTGGAGTTTTAAGTCTACTCTAGAATGCAAAAATCTGTTACCTCTCTCATGTGACTTAGATGATAGGGAAGGATGAGAAGTGGGCTTTTCTGTACCATTTAAGTGATTTATGAGAATCAATGGCATCCAGTGGCAGCCCTGTTCCTAAATATCTGGAGTGCTTTTGAAAATCCAGCTGAACCTTTCAATTTCTCTAATTAGAAGTTTTTCAAGTCAGACTGCTTTGTACTTTTGGGAGGGAGATGTTTTGGCTCATGCTTCAACTTCTTTAAGTAGAGGATTTATTAAGATTATTAAGCTAATGCAGCCCTTTATCTTTCACACTAACTGGTATATCATGTGCTCCTGGCCATATGACTGGATATTTCTTATACAAAATGCATTTCCCATCCATGCATTTCTCACCTCTGTGAGGCTGGAGCTAGTTTCCATTTTGTGATACCATTTATTCACTAGTAAAGCAAAGTGTTGCCTTTGAAGTTTGTAGCTATTCATTATTTATTTTAGTTTCTTCCAAGAATTGTTCTAATTTGTTTAGACAGTTGTCAGGTTGTGATGCTAGATACTGCTGTGTCTGAGTGACATTTTCTAATTATAATTTCTCAAAAGGAGAAATATAGTGGCATGAATGTGTGTGAATCTCAAGATAAGACAAAAAATTTGAATTAATTCACAGGAATTGATGCAAAATGATGTATAGTTATTCAGTTGTGTTAACAGCCCATCAGTAAAAGAGTTATCTGCAAAGAAACTTGCCACCACAGCTATCTGCAAATTGCTTTTTACATTCACATCTTTCTTCTTTCCTCCCTTTAGAACTTCAGAGGATATAGGAGACAGAAAGGATCATGAGACATGAAATAGAAATATGTATTAAGTCTGTGACATCAAAATAATGCTTATTCTTAGACTATATTTCAGAATTCTTACAGCCATTAAAGTACTTCCCTCTCCATCCCCCCGTCAAAAAAATGCTTCTAGATGCTGTGGCAGGTATCAGAATTCCTAACTCTGTTTATTGAATTGGTGGTAAATAATTTAGGTTAGTTTTCACACCTGTTTCTCTTTACTTTCTTCCTTTTTCAACATAACTATCTCAGTCAGTGTCAGCTGTGACATATTCTTTTTATTCATTTACTGTTCTACTTTTACATTGCTATGGCAGCTTATTGTGCATATAGACATCGATCTCACAGAAAGCGGAGGGTTTAAAGAGTTGCATAGGAATACATTGCACTTGTTAAAAATACAAACCACAAATTTTCTATGGGAATAAAAAGGAACTATAATAATTTGTTAGACTTTTAAGACCTACCTTGTTTCACAAGGAACTATTGAGGAGCTGTATATATGCAGTCTGCAGAGAACCTTTTCTTGTGTTTTAGTCAATACTTCAGTTATCTACTCCCCTGGATGTGGTAGAAAGGAAGGCAGATTTGAGCCTTTGAAAAGGAATGCTTCCTTTGTAGGTCTAATCTAACATCTCCCTAACTGCTCCCTTCAAACAGTATTGTCCAGGCTCCCTTTGGACCTGACCAAGAGATACATCATCCCATGCCTGAGCTTACCACATGCAGGGAGGTGAGGGGAAGAAGTCTAGTGGAACCACTTTGGAGTTCTTGGACAGGGTGGAACAGCGCATTCCCCGCAGTCCCCCTCCCCCCACCCATCTAGTCTTCCCTTCTCTCACAGAGAAGTTTATTGCTCACCTTGGTCACTGTTGGCTACCTTCACTGCATGGCCAATCTGGCTCTCAGTTGATGTAAAAAAATGGAGCATAGGACACAGTGTTATTTAAGGTAGAACCAGTTCAGTGCCTATCAAAGTTATGTAACAGAGGATTGTAAGTCAGGATGTAAGGATTTTATGGGTAATCTCTTCTTGAGGACTCTTTCTACACTGTAATTTGGTGATTAGATCAGCTTTTCTGATTTACAGAGAGATGCAGAAGCCCAATAAATGGTCAGTTAGGTCACATCTGATTGTGGGAAGAATTAAAATGGAGGGGAACTTGAGTACCTCTCTGTTATGTTTGAATAGAATGATGATATTTCTGGAAGATTTAGGTACTGATGGACTACCTTTTGAAGTCATTTGAGAGCTGTTTTTCAATTGTTTTCTCTGGGACTAGACATCTATGAATTTGTGTTCCACATAACCACAGGTGAGAACACCACCATTCAAACATCTAAAAGGAAACAAGTATGTGAATTTTCTTTTGGAGATGGGAAAGTTATTACCATATTGAAATCCGAAGCCATTTCAGTTGATTTAAGCTGAATAGTTTTGAGACTATTTTGTTATTTAATCTTTGGCTTTGTCCTTCCACATTTGCTTTTACCTATTACTGTTTTGGCCAGACCCTTTCATGTAACAAACTATAAAATAGCACCGTTGTACTATAAAACAGAGATTTTTACATATTGTTTGATATATGTGTAATATTGATATGCTAAATTTTACATACTGCATTATATGGAGGAAGAAAGAAGTTACCTATACTGTTGCAAAATAATTACCTGGAAGAATCATTACTGGTTTGAGAGCCTATGTATGCTTTAACTGCTTTAAAAAAATCTTTTGTCTCACAAATTGCAATAAATTGCATGTTTGCAAGAGAAGGAAGAAAAAAACTGTCTTAAAACAAATGCATCTATAACCCATATTCTGTTGAAATGCCACAGATGGAATTAATGGATGTTTAAAACTGTATATGTTACCTTACTGCTGCTGTTACTGGGAATGTCAAACTGTGCAAATATGAAGGGGTAGACAAACAATGTTATCAGACACTGTAAAACAAACAGCCTCTTGCTTGTATAGAAGTGCAAATAAAAAAAACACCACTTAGACAAGGCTGATGAATGACTCCAGCAGCCAATGTTCATAGGTTAATTTAGTGCAATTGGATCCGTCAAAGGCCCATAAATTTGTAGGCATTTGAGGGGCACAGGACTTTAAGAGTTTTTGTGCAGGACATTTAAAAAAGGTTAACAAACAGTAATATATCAACCACAGAAATTTTAGCTCTGGGCTGGTTAAAATGTTCTGTTCTCTAAAGACTTAATATTGGAATGTTTAGTTGCATTGTTCACTGGGAGAATGCCCATTGGTTGAGATTGCATCAAGCTTTTTAAAACAAAGGTTTTTTTAAGTCTTCCAATGTTTAACAAATAATTTATTTACAGCAAAGTATCCTGCAGATGGCACATTCATTCTTCATTCTTGTGGATGGCATGTTCTTACATTCTGTAGTTTCTGTTTCCTGTGTTCCCTCTACTTGTATTCTTCAAATGCACTTCCTGGGGATTTAGAAAGAAAAAATTATTACAGATAGGTTTCAATACTTTGTATGACCACTAAACTTATAATAGTGGGAAAACAATTACCCAGAACGCTGGAATTTTTAGACCTCCTTCTGCCAGTTCACAAGGAATAGTCTGCGGAAAACCTTCTCTTGTGTTTTAATCAGTAGTTCAATTATCTACAGGGCACTTAACAATACAGAACTTCTGTACCCTAAATTTCCAGTTCTCTTAGACATAAATGATTGCTGTCATTTTTGATCTTGGCAGAGGAAACATCTGCATACTGGAACCTGGATGCGCTTAGACATATAGTAGGTACCAAAGATCTTCTTTCACAAGGACATTTGCAAAAGCAGGATGTGTAGGGGCCGAGGAACTTGGGAGTTGTAACTGCAGGATTCATGGAGCCTCTTGGGCTTTGGTACCCAGTGTTTTCAAAATTGCTCTGCTAACTGCACATTGCATAAATGACATATTACATATGTTGGATTTTGTTGGATAAGGCCTTGAGGAGGATAAAAAGTGTGGGTTCAGTGTAGGAGCTACAGTCAAATAATTTGTATTTTCAAAACAGACAGGGTGATGTGCCGGACAAATCAAGAGAGCTTTGGAATGAATAATGCCCTCAGTTCACTGTCAGTCCAAGCACAGGCCAGTTTCCAGCAGCAGTGATGGGTGTGATGTATACATTTCAGTTTGATTTCCTTATTTGCCATGCTGGTAAATATTAGCTGGGCCCAAAGCTTCATTCATTCTGTATCAGAATAAAGGCAGAATTTTTAAGTGACTCTCTATATTTATAATCCTCACTGGAAATCAAATTCTTAGTTAACTGAAATCTGTCTGTTCTAAGAAAAACCAAAAAGAAAAAAACTATCTCTGTGAAATGTGTAGAATGTGTATGCAGCTCTACCACTGCAGTAGTTGCTATTAAAGCCCTAAAAATAAGGAAATGTAGCCTCTAAAATTTAAAAAGCGACGTTATAGATGGTGTGTCTCCAGACCTCCTGATTGGAGGCCAGAGTAGACCAGTGATGATGATCAATACGGCCAAGGCTGAGCGGGGCCGGGCACTCGGGCCCGGCCCTGGGCGCAGAAAGGAGAAGGAGTACTAGTAATTGTTAAATTAACTATACCCTTCACAAGTAAAAAAAACATTAAGCCAAGTTAAGACTTATCACTGACAAACCAAACTTGTTGACAGCAAAGTATTCATGATGAAGAAATGTGTCTTTTAGGAATCTGCCATTGTAGCCTAGATTAATCATCCAGTCTCTTTTCCTGTGAAAAGTTCAGAAGGATACTGGCTTGTCTTCATCCAGTTTTGCTAATATTGCTGTAGAATGGCTTCCTTAGCATCAAACAAATATGGAATCAGAAATGTCAACAGAATTCTGCTTATCCATACATATTAACATACTTTCTGCTTTTGGTTGCCTATTTCTGTTCCAGCTTTTCCAAAACTACCTTTGCTGTCTTTAGTTTTCCCTAAGTTGCATGTTAGTTTTCACTCTTAAGTACTCATTTGGGTCAGCCCTTCAATTTTCACTGATTTTCATGAAAATCATCATTGTAGCATTTCACAGGAGTCTGCCAATATGAAGGATCCTGCCTTATTCTGCAAATGTTCAGTTACAATGAACTAGGAAAATGGGAATTTCTTTACTCATCTGCCCAGCTTTTTTCTACACGGCAACAAAATAAAATATTCTCCTCAGTGCTGACCCTAGGTGGTCCTCTTTGAAGATAGTTTACCAGCATATAGGAAAAATTATATGTTACATTATATTTGCAAAAAGTCATACATTCTTAAGGACTGAAAACTCATGATCTATAAAATGGGCAGTGAGAGTCTTATAATGAAAGAACAGCCATTTTGCATTGCAGTGACTTTCAAAGTGTATTTAGATAGAAAATTTCCTATATTTTTCTCAATTGAAAATATAAATTTTCTCCACCACTGCTGTTGTCTGACTTTAAAATGGCTTTATCAACCAAATAAAGCAGATACTAAGATGCAGCAGTGTTTCAGTTATAGCTTTTAATGCTGACATGTAGGTAAAAAAAAAGCTGTCATGATACACAAACTAGTTTTGAAATTGAAGGAAGATGGCAGGTTACTTTTAGAACATTTTCTTCTCCAGATTCAGCATTTTGATGAATAACTACAAATAAGTGCCACTGGTGGTAGCAGCAGTAACATGCATACCAGAAAATGCTTTGACCTGCATAACACACTTTTTCATGTATGCAATGCAGAGACTCTTGGGAAAAACAAAACAGAACAAAAAAACAAAGTTGTGAATGCTTGAATCAGGTTCTCAGACCTGCATTTGTACTGGTATATCAAAGTTTGCCTCACTTCTCAAGTCTTTGAGGAAAAGGTAGTTAGAGATAAAATTACATTTGTGATACTTGTTTTATTGTCAGATCCTCTGAGCTGATAGTCAGACCCAGATGACTAAAATCACCATTTTAAGATGAGAGATGCAAAATGTGAACTTTATATAAATCAATTCATGAAAAGAGAAGTGCAGACTTCTAACCCTTCACCTACAGCATGGATCTTTGGAGAAAAGACAAAAGGATAATGACTACCTCAGTCGTGGTAATGGTCATTTTACTGAGATGGTAGGATATCAGGAAGCATGCAGCAACATTCTTATCCTATTAGGACAGACATTCAAACCTCATATTGGCATTGAAAATCCTCTTGCTTTACTGGTAATAAATGGAAAGTCTAGTGTTTGTAGTAACAGGCACGATACCTTAGCTATGAACTCTCTGGGGGCTCTTTGAAATCTTTTCGTTTCTGTGGGCAGTGTGATCAGTAATATAAAAACAGGGCTGGAAAGTAAGCAATGGGAGAAAATAATTCTCTGAAGAGTCCAAGTCCTTCTATCTGTTACACCAAAAAGTTCCCTCATTGGCTTAGTAATGTGGCATGGCTGCAAGAGAAATTAGGATTGGTGCCATTGTGCATACTTTGGCCTGTAAGTGTATCTGTGAATTGATACTCAGCCAATTACGAAAGAATCTACCAGTCTTAGAAAAATTAATGAGAAATAATGCAATACTTTTTCTGTTTTCCTAAAGGTATTTTCTTAAATGAAAAATATTAATATCTTTTCTCTTTCTCTCTTAGTCTCACTCAGTATTTATTTAAATTTTGAAGATTAGATAAAGTTGGAAAAGTATTTTTGGGAGAATCTGCTTCCTATTCATACTTTGTTGGTATATATATATATTCATGTGTATTTTTCACATGTGGGCCTAAATAAGAGTAAGGACTGAAAATCAGAGGAAGAACAAAATTATATCCAGATATGCACCTCTTTTCTCCTTTTGCTTAGGATGAAAGGGGATGGCATGGCACTGTCTTCGTGAACAAGTTCAAGTTGTGCCAGGAATGGTTTAGATTGGTTGATAGAAAAAATTTCTACACAGAAAAGGTTGTCAAGCACTGAAACAGGCTGCCTAAGGAAGTTTTGCAGGTATTTAAAGATGTGTAGATGTGGCACTTAGAGACGTGGTTTAGTGGTGGAGTTGGCAGTGCTGCGTTAATGAACTCAATGATCCTAGAGGTCTTTTCCAACCTAAATGACTGTATGATTCTCTTTTATTAATTTTTAAAATCAGCCTTATCAGTATTCACATTTATGTAGTAATTTTCAAAGTAAATGAATAAGAACTTTGTGACATGGGTTCTGTGACACTGCTTCATCTAGAAAGGTCACAGTCTTCCCTCACATATACAGTAGTGGAAATTGCTCAGTTACTTCTTTGCTAGGAGAGTTGTTTTTCAAAGTTCTACTCACTGATTTTCCAAATTGCTATTAATTGTTAGTTCACTTTTTGAGTAAACTTTTTTATCATTTTTCAGAAGAGAAAGATGAATGGAAGAAAAACTAGATGGGACCATGACATGAAACACAAGACTTCAACTTCCCTTCTTGCTCTTGTTTCGCACTTTTAAAGTCTAAATATAAACTTTGTGTAAAAATAGGTGAAACCATTGCTCTGCTTAAACCAAAACCCAAATCCTGGATTTGTCATTTAGAAAGTTATGAGGAGATGCTAAATAAAGACTATATCAGATATATGAAAGGCATAAGGAACTGATTGTCTATGAAGTCTGAGAGTAACTGCACAATATATATTCCACTTAATCCTATCTTAAATCTTACATTTAATAAGAAAATTCTAAAAAGGTCATATTATATTATCTCATACATATATTCATTTTCTATGTATAAGATATATATCTCATATATAACATAATATTAAGAGAGAAAAATATTCCAAAGCAGAAAAAAATTGCTTAACTGGAAAATAATTTGACTTTAACATAACTATTTTTAAATTAAAATCAGTGACATATCAACACTATGAACTAGCTAAATACATTCATATTGGGAGACGCTATTTAAAGAAAGTATGAACATAATTGCCTTTCTTAATGGAGGCATATACAACTGACTACAAAAAGAAAAGAGAAAGAAAAAAAATTACATGAGAATATGTACCTGACTTTTTCCTAATGGATTCTGCTTATCTTCCCTTCTCTGTATTTTCCTATTATCTATCAAAAATATGAATAATAGTTTCTCCTACTACTTCTGCATTTTTGTTTCCTCAAACTAATTTTCTCCATCCACAAATAATAATGAAAATTTCAGTTTGTTTTCCTCATCAGATTTCTGTTATTTTATTGCCAAGTTCCTATCAAGAAGCATTTATGACTTTTTTTTCTTCTGTTCAACTTTATCCTCCTTTTCACATACAGTGTCTCTAAGGGTGTTGTTTTGTTTAGTATTAATTTTTCTCTAATTTTATTTTTTTCTCCCTTTTTCTCAAAATCTCATATTTTCTGTGAGATGCACCTTGGTTCATTCAGTTTCTCAATGTTTTGCATCTCAACTTCTTTGATCTAATTCCCTCCCCTTTCTTTTCTTGTACTCCTCATTGTCCTTTTACTACCCTTTTCACCTCTTGATTCTTTCAATTTTTGATTTCCAGGATGACTTCTTCTGCAGCCAGACTTTCTCAATTACTCAGTTACATACTCTATTTTTTTTCTACTTCCAGTACCCCTCTTGAGCACCACCTCCCCTGACACCAGAGGAAGATACAAGGTCTTTTTTCTGGTCCTTCCTGTTTGCAAGAAAAGTGTTCTCCTGCTTGAGTTTTGAACTGGGAAGAGGACGGCTGCCTAAAGTATGACATCATTCCTCAGTCCTCCAAGGAAAGTGGTGTGGAGATCCATTAGAGAGCTGGCAGGTATCTTGTCTCCTTTACTTGAATGTTTTACCAATCACCTTAGCAACAAGTATGGGAAGGAGAACACAGATTACTGGCCAGGACTGTTTTCTTCTTTTCCAGCAAGCCTTAAGTTTATGTGTGCCCAGATAGGAATAAACCACAGCATTTTCTTGTCTACAGCTGAGCTGTACCTGAAGAAGTCTTTACCCATTGCCCTGTGTGCCCTTTGAGATACTAAAGGCTAAGGCTAAAGAAATGTCACACAGACACTGCTTTAAAAGTTTGAAAACTCTTGAGGAAGCAGTGAAAGGATTCCATTTTGTGAATTGACTTATGGAAAAGAATGGATGCTGGAATGATTGCAGTTGTTCTTTTCATAAAGATGATATTAAGGAAATTAATATGCAGTACAGGTTTCTTTACTTCCTGTAAAACATTAGGTTTTTATGCAGTTCCATTTCTTATAAGCAAAAATTTTCAGATAACTGCAGGAATGGGGCCAACATATGTGTAGGACAGGCAGGGTCAAGCAGCAATAAAATTAATCAATAGAGACTTAAAGCAGAAGACAAATAACATGTAAAACAGATGTTCAGAACTCAAACAGGAGAGAGGGTTGTACATGAACTCAATTGTAGCCTAGTCTGAGATGAGTTTTCTGAACTATAGGCTGTGTTGATACATAAATTTACAGTATATCTAGTATCACAGGAACAAAAATCTGGATACTCTGAACTCCACAACTATATAAAAAATATCAATTAATATTTGAAGTGCTTGGAGAACATATGTATTAATCTTTAAATACTTAAAATGAAGTATGTAATGATTGTAGTGAGTATCCATTTAATTTATTTCTGATAAATGAAAAAAAAATCCAAAATAATGAAGAAAGAAAAAAATTGTTCATTTACACCTAAGATGAATAGCAGAAGAGCTGTATTTTCCTTCTTAAGCACTCACTCTACCTCTCCCTGAAAGAGAAAGATGAGTGAAGAGATTCTGGATAGATGAGTTGTTAAACATTCAGTGTTTGATTTCTCTTTTGAAAGAAGTCTTAGGTGCTATTTCTGATTGGATGACGTGAGTACTTATCACTTGCCACCCTATAGCAGGATAAAGCCTCACAACTACTAGTTTAGCAATTCCATGTTTTATTCAGTGTTCTAAGAGATGAGATGAAACATACCATTTCCTACTCATTTCCTACTGTGGAAACTATTTTTCAAAACTCCACTAAATCTAGTAGGCAGAACACATCCATTGTCTTCTATGTTACCAGCCCTGATAGAATTTTCCTTCCCTAAAATACATAGGGTTTTCTTCATTGGTATTTTATTGGTTTGGTTGGTTTATTTGTTAGTAGTTTTGAATTTTTCCCAGCCTGGCCTACCTTTTGTGCTTTTGGCATATCAGTGTGGCGCTGAGCACGTACAGACCGTGCAGATTTAGGTGGCTTTATCGGAGCACAATACATCTCCAGCCTCCTCAGGTCACAACTCTGGAAGCAGCATTCATCCACTATTCCCTTGTGGTGTAAGCGTCTACTGCTGGATCCATACCCTGTAGGCTTACCTATTCAAAACACAAATGGAAAGTTTTTTTGTTAGAAAGAAAATGCAAAGCTCTCAGAAGCAGTCATATCATCAAGTTGCATTATTTTAACTGAATCACCAATGACCATTGTAGAGCCTGTCTGTGTGTATCTATTCTAAGAACCTGTTCTCAGATGCACCTTTTAAAGAAATTCCTGGAAACAGCCAGCTTTTATCTCTGTCTATGGGTGTTCACTATTTAAGCATTTGAGCAAATTTATGCATTCTTAGAAAATTATTATTAAAATATGTTCCTGAACTGTCTTAGCATTGAAAATGGAGAGGGAGGAATCTGAAATCTGGCATTTACAAAGGAAATTTGCCCTTTAGCTTTAGGATGAAAACTGATTGCTGAGCCAACTGAGGTAGCTGATGTGTAAAGATCATAGATCATGACTTTGTTGTAGGCAAATATTTCCTAGTAAAAAAGGCTGCACCGAGGTACTATGTGAAGCCAGAATGTGTTCCAAAGGGGAAATAAATACTGTATACAACTGCACAGGCTGTAAGATCTGCAAGCTCAAAAGCTAGTGGGAAGCAGGAAATAAGGTAACACAGTAACGGATGAAGTGCAGCAAAAATAGGAAGATGGTTGATGGAACAGATAAAAGCAGAAGATTTTATATTCCACAGATTTGTACAAGACAGGAAATGGGACTGTCATAACATGGTTTTCCTGTGTTTTGCACCAGGCATCTGTAGAAACTACTTAATTGGCAAATATTTTCCCTTTTTCACTCAGCTCCAGTAAAGGCCGCCATGTTCATCCATACAACTCTCACACACATATTTTTGTCTTTTTTTCCCCAGTGGTTTATGATTTCCTTAGTAACTGCTAATTTCTCTGCTATACTGCACAGACATTGAAGTCCCACTGTTTCCTGGGCTTGTTTGTATGCAACCCAGTTGGATGTGTACTTGCCCTGTTATGACTAACTAGAAATGAAGGAACAGTAAATTCACAAAAAGTAAGTAGCTGCTTACTTTCTGTATCTATATTAAATTCTGCTAGAATTTGATTTCACATACTAAAATTCTGAAAAGATTAAGTGTTTTGTTTTGACATTTTCAGCATTAAATGTTTCCTTTTACAGAATGATTCACATTAGTTAAGAACTGAAAAATATGGAAAAAAAAAAGGAAAGAAAATTGTATCAAGAGCCAAAAAATGAAGTAACTCAGTCAACTCTACCAATTTCTTTTCATGCCTCTTTTTTTTTTCTTTTTCCCTTCAATTTTATCACTGAGACCAAAAATCTGTTATTCACAGAGTTTGGCAGGAGTTCACATTTTAAGAATTACTCAAGCTAGATAAGGCATAAAGGCAAAAATTCAGTTTCTCTTTGGGAAATTATTGCATCAAATGCTTATACAGCAAATTCTAGGTTGACGTCCAGGTACTTGTCCTGCAGCTGTCAATTTGAAAAGATGACACTGCATTTTGCAGTACCCTGTGATTAAAACATGTACCCATTGATGAAGAACCCTTGAGGCTTTAGAACATCAGTAAATGAAAAGACCTCTAGTGGTAAATTATGTCACATTTTAGCCAGCAATACAGCTAGCTAAGAACTAACTATCCCTATGAGCTTTGTAAACTCAGACAACAGGTTTTTAAATGTCTTTTTTTTTTCTTTCCTGGGACTATAAATTAAACGAAAAGAAAAACATGCTTACTTAGTATATTACAATCCACTGAGGACCTCTATATTGTACATTGCCTGCTAAATCATTTGTTTCATAAGACTAAAGAGAAGAGCAAGCCAGGAACAAATTACAGTAATATTTCGGTTTGTTTGTGTGTGTGTTGCTTTATGTGTATCACTGAAAAGTATTATAAATATTAAGATGCAGCATTTTGGGTTTTTTTCTGAAACTATTTTCTCTCACTGACTTATAATACAAATTACAAGCTTTTTGCTAAAGATTATTTCTGAATTCTGTTAATCCAGTTGTTTTAGCCCGATACTTTTAAAATTTAGCAGTCAAGATAACGTGTGGAGTGTCATTAGTTTGCAGTATACCCAGAGCTGTGCCACATTTTGTCTTGCTCCCATCTAAAGAAAGGTAGGGCAAATTCTGTTCTTGGATACACAGGTATAACTCTTCCCAATAGATCCAGCTGAACTATAGGTACAAAGAACTGGTTAGTAAAGCTTCCCTTTCTTTTCTTATTCTGCCAATTTTTCATAAGCAGATACACCCTAAAAGCTTCGGTTCAAGTTATTTTACCCTTCAGTGTCTGAATTTACCTATTTATAAATGTGTAGGACCTTTATAATTTATAAAGTTGGTAAAGTACCTTTAATAACCTATGAAGCACTGCCTGGCTTATTTAGTAATCAGTGGCAACATTTCTCCTCACTATCATATACATAAATAGTTAATACAAATCCTAAATCCTGGAATCTTTCTGGTGCAAATCTCAGTGCACTTCAAAATCATTTTTAGTGTAGCCAGACCAAAAACATCTATGGGTTACTTTTCTTTCTAACAGAATAATAATTTTATGAAGGATTATATAATGTCTAATAGCCCTTTAAAAAACTTGTATGGTACATGTAACAACATTGGAATGTAATCACTAACACATCACTGATGTGGTCAGCTATGAACTTATAGGCTTAAATATTCATGTATCACATAGCATACTAAGTGCTTATCCTTCATAAAAAGATAACATTAGTCCTGTGAAGTTAGATTTTTTTCTCTTTAAAAAAATGTTTCCCGAGGTTTTCAAAAGACCTAAGCAATGAAATATACTTAAAATCTGTGTGATATAGAAAGTGCTATACAACAGAGAGAACAAAGTAATAGAAAAAAAATTCTTTTTCAGTAATCATGATTCTCAATCATGATTGAGAAGTGTCTGATATGCAAAGTAATTTTAAACCAATAGATTTTAAATTGCTGCTGTCCTCTTAAGTGCTGCTGCTTACAAAGGCGCTATTACAGCGAAAGGTGAGATAAAGAATTAGAAGAAGATACTACCACTTCTACAGATGTTATCATTATTTGGCCCATCTGCTTCTGGAAGGACCGCAGGATCAGATGGTCTCAGTTCATCAAATTACCAAAATATGCATTTAGATCTAGGCAAATGTTCAAGCTCCTATATAGTGTGTTGGACTAATGCACGTGTTAAACAGTGAGCACACGCCTGAGTGCTCTTCTACATAGGGACTGATGTAACTGAGCACTTAAGATAATTTCTAGACCAATTGGTATTGGTAAATAAATGGCTGGTGGTTCTTCATTTTTAATATGATTTTTGTTCCCTTTTTATTTTTTTAATAATATTGCCTACAGTATGGACTGGACTTTCTGTGTCACTATACTGCGAACCCATATAGTTCTTTCTCATCTCTCTGACATAATTTGAGTGCTGCCTTCCAACCATTATCAAAAAGTTCCTTGTATTTACTCAACCTTCAAAGTGCTGCCTGTGGACACACAACAGTCTTAGGCATTCCTTTTTGCTGACGTACACTGATTTCCTTGGAGGTTTCTTTCTTTTTTTGTCAGTTGCCAACTCAAGAGAATTTCATATCATGTAGGTCAAAGTTTACTTAATAGAATATTTGGCACTTGTTTAATCTACACTATCAAATATGTGAATGTTTCTTTCAATGTGTGACAAGCAGATACAAAGTCTAATCACACTATTCTGAAGTCCCCTGAAAGCAGGCCAAGGTACAGAATTGCAGTAGTTAAACAGCTGACTTCTGTACTAACAGTACTTCCCTTTAAATAATGCAAAGTCAGTGGAGTAATCCAGCAGGACTTGTTTACACTCGATTTCTCTGTTTCTCCCCATCCCTCCAAAATACCTTACTCCTATAGGTGGACTATAGAACTATCATATATCAAGTTATCTAGGCATTCTATGTAGAATCATAATATACTATTGTAGTATTAACATTAGAAATTACATAAGAAATAGCCCAGGATAAACACAAAGCTTAATCTACTCTTTAGGGGACTCTAGGAAGAGCTGGATATGTGTCCAGGAACTTTTATGTGATTATTCGCATTTGTTGTGCATAGTGTCTTTTTTAGCCAAGCATAGAACTCGAGAATGCCGTGCAGTCTGTAATTCAGAAATACATCATAAATCTGAAAATCAGTGACCTAACCTGCTATCAGAGTCAATCATCAGCTGTAACTGCTTTTAAAGTATTCTAAAAGGCCATTAGTTTTGCTCTAGTCTTGTAGCAAGAAACTCACAATGTTTCTGTCAAAACATCAGGGTAATATAACTCGTACAATTTTGAAACATTGATAGCAGCTTACGGTATTGGGATGTATGTGAGCATGCTATAAGGCGGTATGTTGGATGAACAGAATTCTTCTGTGACCTGAACAACAAGATTGAGTGTTTGTGGTGCTATATTATTATGCAGGAGCTGAACAAACTCATCCTGCCTGCTAGATCCAGACTGGGAGCTGTTGGTTAGAGTGTTTTTTGAGTTGCATGTGCTGTCTGCCTTATAGTGGCACAGAAGACTAGGGATGCTGAGTTTGAGATTCATCTTGCTCATCTTTGCTACCTGAAAATTAGGGATCTCTTTTAAGATAGTGAACTCAACAAGGAGGTGTGCCTACAGGGTGACTGATTTCTCTATTGAATGCTTTACTTAAAATTAAACGTATCTTTGTCCTCTGAAAGAGGCAGTCTTCTTTCACGGACTACAGATAAAGCTACTTGATCGAGTCTTAGCATGCATACACAACTCCTTCTAGTTCTTCGAAGAAAATGAATTCCATTGAAAATGATTTGTCCTAAACCACAAAATATATGCCCCAGGTGCAGTACAAAGCCTTTGTCTTTCATTCCCAATTTAACAATCAAATGTAACAACAAATTGTTCTGAAAAGCACACCAGCCAGTGTACTATTAATTATGTATCTCCATACCTCTTTAACTGTACTCTGTATGTTAGGCTACTGTTTCTGTGTATTTTTGCATTATAAATGCAT